ATATATATTATGTTTTGTATTGTTTACAAATAGTTTTGCTTCGTGTGTGCTTATGCACTAATAGCACGATAATAAACTAGTATTTGGTCCTATTCATATACTTTCTCCTTGCCCTCGGTTCGAACCGTGATATCTGCCGGGTCAACAAGACCTATGGAAATGCGCTCGACAGTGCGTTGCAAGTTTGACCAATAAAAAGAAAATTAACTGTGGACCGTCACCTTATTGATCGTTGTAAAATTAAGTACACACCAGCGACCGTTCACCCGTCGAAATAGATGCAGTCCGTGTATGATCTACATAATATTGTGCTCTCTGCAATAACAACATTGCCAAACGTTACACGAGTCATCTGAGTAGGCATAATAACGCAACAGCGCCAACGACACACTAACGACCGACCGGCTACTGAACACTATATTATTATGTTATTAGAGGGTTTCGAAATCGGTCGAATTTGGTGTCAAAAAAGACAGATTACCCACCTGAATGGCGCCAATCTAACCAGTCGATGTATGTATATATATATAGTCCGATCGACCCTCAAGCACCTAGTACCCAAGGCCGACAGCTAATCCGAGTTCGGGCGTTGACTCCGTTTTACGATGTTGGGCAAAATGCAGATATTATTTAAAATGTTGAAAATCCCAAACCGAAACGCCTTAAAATAGTTATTCGCCAATCTGTTCTCTCTTTGCATTTTTTATTTGTTTTTTGACAAGATTGATCTTCGGCGTGGGTAGGAAAACATGGGCCACCACGCTGTCACCTGTGGTACGTGGAGGAAGGAGTCGATTGCGGTAATACGAAATGATTATTTCACATAGTTCCAGATGACAACAATGGAAGTCTACAGAGAAAAAAAACCACTTGTAGTGCACAAAACAGAGGCAATATGTATATATATATCGTTCTCGAGAGACCATTACAAAGCGATATCGTCTTTCTCGGACGGCAGATCTACAGTTAGGTTAGGTTAAGATATATATATATGTATATGGGTACAAGATCTACGTGTATATTGTGATTCCGTCATCGGTGTATAGTGGCGCAAGCGTCTTGGAATTGATTTGGACGCCACGTATTGGGTCAAGGTGGACTCTGCACGGCGTAATACCGAGCTCGACCTTGCGAACAGCACAGCTATGCCCGTCCATCACACTCGGTCGATCTGATCCGCTGTTATGGTCGGGTGTATTAACTTGCCGTGATTGACTTGATGTATTATAATGTACGTTTGTACATTATGGGGATTATTTTTTTATCCACGGCAAAACAGAAGTCGCCGGTCCGGAGTCAACGACACGCGAACAGGTTACTATAGACCGCCATTACACGTTTGTTAAGGTCGAAGAAAAAATTAAGTTCCATTTCTAAACACTGAATCGACTTCGGGTTAGGTCCCTTTGACGAAGGACTGTTGCGCACATTTGTTTTAGTTGTCTTTAAAAAAAAAACAATAGCAAAATCCAGTCACTAACATTATACATACACCCCTAGGCTTGGGGTTTGTATTCTGGACAAGTTTGTAATAATAATTATGTTAATTCCAATGGAATATTAAGTTAGTTACAAGTTAAATTTTAATCGCATTTTCAATTAAATAAACTTCATTTACGGAATCTTTTAATTGTTAAATGTGAATGCATCCAATTTTTTTTTAAAAATATGTGTAATTACATTTCTTGTATTCGTTTACTTAATTGCCCGACTTGACCGTATAATACTCGATTGGAGACAATTAACCGTTAAATTAAAACTAAAACAACGAAAAGAAAAAAGTCGTGAAGTTGTTTTTTATCGTTTGTTGACTTTTACAAACAATGCACGTTAATTATATAATAAAACACTCATTGCCATTCTACGCGTTATAAAATATGTATCACATAAACTGACCTAACCTAACAAACCTAAATTATGAGAAAATGTTTTCCTATAACACTTGGGGGGGGGGGGTGAGGGGTGGACAGGCGGACAGCAAAGTATAAAATATAATACTTTTATTTTATTTTTTATTATAAGCATTTTAATACAATTTTTTGGGCATTAATAATAATATTAAAAAATATATATGTGATCACTATCTGTTGACGGCCATCGGAAATTATCATTGCTGTAACAATAATAATATAACCGCCATAATAATAATAATGATGATAATAAGTGGATGGCTAATTATGAAAAACGGGTTTTCCATAAAGAGTTATTAATAATTTATGCGCGTCCAGATTAAGTAATGTATGATTTTTTTTTCTCGGTCGCGATAATAATAAAATGTACCTATAGTGTTCTTACACGGTTTTAGCAAGTAACCAAGGTGATGTATTGAGATATAGGGTTCAAGTAGATTTTATATCTTTTCTATATATTGAGATATACTTCTTAAGAACGGTTGTAAACAATACTGACGTAAGCGAAAAACGTTATTCGGAATAATTATTGTAACTCATGACCACGCATGGATTTTAGATCATTTTTCAGATATTAATTAATCGTAAAAAACCATAACTAGCATATGTTAATAGATATATTATGTGAAATAGCACGCGAATGTGGTCATTTTGTTGTCCATTTGATATTAATAAAATTATTATTTACAACGCAAATAATGTTTTCACAAAACGGGCGTCGGATGTATTGTATATAACAATAGCTAGCTGTCCAATCACAATAATAACGTTTAAGTATAATAATTTTATAATATTTTTCGAAACGTTCATCTTGTAAGTAGTTTTAATCGACCCGTGTCAAGGTGACGGGGACGAGCAGACAACACTTTTATAACGTCTGTAGTATGTATATTGTCAATAAGTTATAATTATATCACAATCGTGATCATGAATATTGATCGATTCAATTTAAGCCGTAAGATGATTTTTTTGTTGAAAAAATGAATTAAACATTATACGTTAATTTTTTTTTTTTCAAAACACTTAACCTTTATAAATAATACACAATCAATAGACATAACATGTAAAACGTCGTATGGTCTACGAATGAAGAAGATAAAGAATTGGCGCACGCTCTCATTGTTTAATTATTATTATTACGGTATAACGTATGCTAATAAGATTGTAAATGATGATATAAACAAAGCGACAGGTTGCATATTTTATTTTGCCACCCGAAAGGTTAAGTGCAAAAAACACGTGCTTCATCCGAATATTAAACATTATTACCATATTTTCCAAGTAGTACAGTAAACCAGGTCAATCAAACGAGCTAATTTTGTTCGTTATAGACATATATATTTTGCTATTGTGGCCAAACTGTAAAAATTGATTTTTTTTAAATGCCAGTGATTTTCAAAATCTGATACACATATATATATACGAACTCGAGTAGCTAATCAACTAGTTTTTGTAAACCGTTTAATGTGCGTGTACAATTTTAGTGAAAAGGGACATACATGTCAATTTGGGGTTGAAGTTTGAATTAACCATATTACACACCAGTGTTGTACTTTTGTTTGTGCCTTTGTGTTATAAATGACGTTGTGTAGGTTGTATATTTTCGGAATTTACATAAAAAATAAACGAATCTTGTTTTCCTTATACCCGGAAAATAAAAAATCGTACCCTCTGTTTGCACTTAAACGGTTCAACTATAATAACAGTTAACAATAGTCATACGAAATGTCCAAGACCAAAAAACGTACATTGCGCTGTGTTGTATAGACACGGTTGTGGCATGCCGCTCGTTTTATCCATTTCGATCACGGCTCGAGACACGTGTGATAAAATATTTAATTAGTGGACCATGGTCATCCGGGCCAGGAGGTTTGACCGTTTGAGCAACCGGCGACGACGACGACCTGCAACGTTTACCGCCGTTTCGACACAGGAGACCCGCGCGCTCAAAAAATCATTCTAAACATTATCGTTACAATATTATTATCTTTTTCGATTCGTCGACCTATTGTGTTTTGGTCGCGGTTTTCAAGGTTTCCGCCGTGTGTGTACACAGCCTAAGTGGAAAAACCCCCAAGAGTATTCGCGGTCACAGGGCGACCCAGACGAATCCGGACGGAAGCCGACCAACCTAGTACACCGGCGCCTGGTATCGTGTCTGCCTTCCCATGAACATCCCTTCAGCCGCTCCCCGAGTAGGCGACCTTGGCTTATTGTAATATGCTAACGGTCAAAATTGCCAAAGCTCAAGTATGGAAAAAAAAAGGGGCAGTGGGGTATTATACCCTTATCGAACCCGAGCACTATTGTTCCATCGTTTTGTATCAAACGTATTTAATTTTTTAGCGTTATGTTATAGTAAAGTGATGGGGGGGGAGGGGTTACTGCAATTAAATGGGACAAGTGCAACCGAACAATTTATACAGTTGTACTTGACCCATCAATTTACAAAAACATTTTACGTATGGCTTTGGACAAAAACGGTTAAGAGCTTTTAGTGGAAACAAAAATTAAACAACTTTTTGCAACGGTTATAGTTGTTTATAAAAATGTTCGGTAATGGTAGTCCGAGGTTCCCAAGACATGCACTTCATTAAAAGTACACGTTAAAATTTTATTTTAATTTAACCAAATTATACCAATATCGCGATAGACGTAGTCCTGTCCTATGTCTGCGTGTACCGTAGGTCACTTTTGTGTATCGCAGACTTTTATATTCTATGCACCCAACCGACCTCAACAGTCGTCCCTGTCGTTCCCTGCTATGACAAACCATCTAAGTAGTTCAGAATCCACTACAGCCGATGAGTTCGAAGTGTTGTACAAATTGTACAGCTAGTCGATCGAGAATTATTCCGTTCAAACGCTTTGTTTTATTTATTTATATATTTTTTTTTTTTTTGAAAATTGTCCAAAACTGTGCATTACGAGTGTTTTATATTTTACTAAGAAAAAATGTATATACTACGAACTTTCCAACGGGGTTTCTAGACAAAATCGCCAGATTTAGACTTTCGATGTCGGGAAGGTATGGTTTTTTTTTTGTATTAAGATCCAACATGTAATAATAATCCGTAAATTACAACTCACCGTACTCTGGACGACGACGATATCCTTTTGGTGAACGCGCACGTTATCCGACTTTGGCGGGAGACTGTATAGTGGTGTGTCAACGACGCCGAACACTTTCTTCGAGAAAACAAATTATTATTATTTTTTTTTTTATTCTCTACGGTATTAGCTAAAATTAAAAAAAAAATCGACTCTTGTGCCGATAGAGCTATATCGATGACGATTATAGGGTTGACGGGACCGTCGGTCGTTCGGTCGCGCGTTCGCCGTACGATTACCACGAGTAGCTGACGGCACGGTCGTCTTTAGGCAACCGACCTCTGCGTCTCTTCCCTACTCCTCCGGTCCGGCCGGGTCCCGTCCGGTGGGGACGATGGCGTTCTTTTCGCTGAAACCGGACTTTCCTTCGCAACAATTGCAAACACAACCGGAATGGCGCAGCGGAAAACGATAGGAACAATTTTCAAGAAATTGGAAATAAAAAAACCACACCGAACCTCGATCCTCTCTCCCGCCCCTCGTTCGTAGATATTACACCTACCTATGTCGCGTACAAAGTTTTCAGATAATAATATCTCAATATAGTCAAGTGCTTAGTGCAGTGCAAAAAAAAAAACTGGACGGACGCCAAACGCGTTTGGCGACGACAGCCTCGGATCGACTTGACGAAACGTACCCACCCGTGTACTCCGTTAGCAGCATAAACGAAATCGACAGTGCCCAACCAGTATTGAAATTAATAATTATTATTGTTTATTACACCGCTATTAGGTATAATATAGTATAGTAATATTATAAGCACGTTAATATCGACACAACCGCATAATATTATATTAAAATTATACTATTATTGTAATACGCGACGACCGGTGTGTGGCAACGCATGTCACGACTGAATCGTTTAATTTTACGAAAGGTGATAAGTCACAGTTTTGTTGAAAATTACTTTTTTTTTTTTAATAAAATATATTATTTTCTGTGGCTGTAGACGGATCGTTTATATTTGAAATTCTACGACAGCTCATTTTATTGTGGCGATTCAAACATTTAGTTCCTATCAACGATTTAAGTCATAATAGAATATATTGGTAAAGTAGTTGTGGTTTACATCACTCAATTGCACACAATCCCGTTTATGATTTAGTAATTTTATTTATCTTAGGAGTTGAGTAACTCGTTTGTTACTGTTGGCTAAAAAAATAAATTTTAAAAAATTGGTATTCCAAAATTTAAATAAGTATATAAGAATTTTTTGACTAAACCCCTTTCATAAATAATAATCGATTCAACGTCCCTGTTGGTAGAAGAGGTCGCCAAAAAGCAGCCAATCTAAATTTTTCTGACATTAAAGTTATTGTTTTCCAAAAGGCTCTATGCGATGCATTTTCCCAGCATTTGGATTTTTGATAATCATTTTTGAATTTACACGTTTACTGGTCTAACTGGTGTTTTTAGAAAAAAATTTACATTTGTCTTTTTATAAACCTTACCAAAACAACAAAAAAATGATTTTAATATTTTCCAAAATAATATTAAAAAGTTTTTAATATATTCAAATCGCACTTTAAGAGGATATTAAATGTTTAAAGTGAAATATTAAGCGAAATTTTGTTTAAATGTTATTGAAATATAGAAAAACATTCTTATTAAATTTAAAACATTGAACACAATTTGGCTAATAACAACATATTTTTGTAAATAATACTTTATCTCCTAATCAAATATGATTTTAAAATAATAACACATTTTAGACAATATTTAAAAAACATTAACATTACTTAACTGCATACTAGATAAGTAGGTATTAATGTTTAGAGTTCTTATAGCTTCCACGTGAAGCTGAAAAGATGTCGATTTTACAATAGTTTTTTTATTTTTTAATAGTGTTAAAGTTGTTATACTGACAAAGTGACCTTCATTTTTTTCAAATTTGAATTTTCAAACGCTCAAACGTTGTTAAAAATAATTAGGTTCAGTAGAGACGTTCACTGAACATTAATTAGGCGTGCAATTTTACCTTCAACAGCCTTACAACCAAAATTTTTCAATAACAATAACCTTATTACTCAAAAAAATGACTTTTTTTTTATAATAACATTTGCAATTTTAAGATTTAATAACTCTAAATCAGATTATGTATCTATATAAGTATATTTTATACCAGACATGTTATATTATAAATTAACCCTTCCTTTGCATATTTTTAAAGCTGTAAACATTATAACTATTGCTGAAAATTACCTAAAACTCAAGTTTCAAAAATACAACTGTGTTGGGAAACATGATATTGTAACACGATATTATAACAAATATGTTTACTATTATGCAAAAAGAGGTCAAAACAGTTACATTTAATAGGTAAATCACTCTTACCTCCACGCGATTAGTATATCAATTTTGAAAACGAATTTTGGGCGTTGGAAAGGTTTGAGCCAAATCCCCCAAATAGTACCTGCAAAATATGGAATATTAGTGTTAGAATTAAAGTGAAGCACGCCGTAGAAGATGTAGATTTTACAATAATGTGTGTGTGTGTATGTATTTGTCTATTTAAACTTACATTAAAGTAAGTGAGTTAAGAGTCTAAACTTTCGACCCAGAGAGCAAATTATGATATTTATATGTCAAACAATTTATGAAAATAGTTTAAAACATATTAAGCCAACGTGGGATTTTTAACCTCTATCAAGCTGGTCCATTAGGACCGTCGTGTATCGAGCAAGGTTTGTCGTTCGTGCCAATTATAAATATTATAAAACGACACAAAAACGAATGGCAGCTTTGTTGGTCGAAGCTTGAAGATTTAATTATTTTAAGTATTGACCGGAATATTAATGACATGATGAAATAACACTATACCGATATTCAAATGATTTCAAACGGCCGTCGAATAGTCAAGAAAAAAAACTTAAACAAAAGCAACAACCATAGATTAATTTAGTTCTACGTCCGACATGATAATATATGGGGCAATTGTAAGCAAATAGGGCAATTGTAAGCAAATAGGGCAATTGTAAGCAAATAGGGCAATTGTAAGCAAGTAGAGCAAATGTCAATGCTATTTTCTAGTTATTAAAAAAAAATTAACATTTATAGAAATTTTAATTGAAAGATTTTAATCATAAAATGGTACTCCGTTGCACTTTACATGCAATAATATAAAATTATTCCTCAGAATACTGAGTCCTGACCAACTTGTTAATTTGTAATACAAAAAATTATAGAACTGCAATATACATATTTACTTCTTACTAAAATATATCATTTTTTACTTTAACTAGAAAAAAACAGTAGTGCTTATGCCATTTTTTCGCAAACCAAAAACGTATTGAAATCTATAAAAAATAATTCTATTTTTTTTCTTAATAGAATAGTACTAACAAGTAAGTGCGATTTCAATACAATTGCGAATTGAACTTTTTTTGTTTATTAAATTGAATATATAATAATTTACATTCGTCTATTTTCAATTATTTGACCCTATCGATGAAGATAAAATAGAGACCAAGTAAGAAACTGTGTTAAAGGAGGAATTAATTTGTGTTTTGATTTAGAATATTATTTTTTATGAATATATTATATATTATAATATATTAAATGATCAAATTTTACGTTAAAGTTGACATTTCTTTTTATTAATTAAAACAAATTTTTTTTGATAATTTTTTATTTGTTACTTTTTCTTTATATCCGCGAAGATATTCCTTAATTATTTGCTTTGAAATAAAAGCAATTGGTTGGTTTTGTTGTTAATTAACAAATCTAAAATGTCTAATATAAATTAAATACAAAAATAGATATTTGGTTTAAGCCTGGCCCCCCCTCCCCCTTTCTTCTTCGTCATGTTTACTACGTTTGAGTTTTAAATATTTTTCTATTAAAACAAAAAAAAAGGAAACACTTTTAATTGATAATTAAATTTCTGGAGCTATAACCACCTCTCTCCTACACTGATTAAAAGACCTTGTTACGTTTCTACATTACACATAACCTAACGAGTTTTTGTAAAATTAAAACCACCAAAAGACATAATTTGTACGTGTAATCGTTGTATAATAATAAAGTACTTGTTTAAGTTTCGCTATATACTAGGATTCGTTTTACATTGTAAAGTAGTAAGACTGGTACAGAACGGCATAATATGTTTCTCAATAATTACACTTTATACTAAAAATTGTATGATCTACTCTGTTACATGTGTGAAATAATGTCTTACTCTACAATCTGAATAGTTGATAGAGACAACTGTAAGGACGGTATAATGTCATACAAATTTTATGTTATAAATAGTAGTATAGTAGGTGTTTAAAAAATCAAATGCATTTTTTACATATTATTTGTTGATTTTAGTTGATTAGAAGCAGATCTGTTACTCGCATTTTCTCATATCGGTTTCCTGTGTGGATTTTCTTTAAATGTGTCAAAAATATATATTTTATTTTAATATTGTGACTATTATAAACTATAATAAAATATTGTATATAATTGCCCAGTGAAATATTATTACAATTTATATTATTTCTTTATGAGTATGTTATTCCAAAAATACATGTTTTTAGTTAAACTGTTTTATAAAAAAAACAATAGTCGGCTCTTAAATTCTTGAGTATAAACACATACTGTATGTCTGTATACATAATAAAACACATCGAATGACTACAAAATAATAATATTTTAAAACAACATGGTAATTTCACCATAAACGTAATGTCTATCAAGTAAAATTCCATTATTTTGTATTATGTAAATCGGTGTACTGCGCGGCACTTGCAAGATATTATATAAACACCCTCAGGGTGTAAAGTCAATGTCGAAAACCGTGTAGTCCTAATAACTATAATACATTGCTCTAGTCAACATATTTTTTAAATATCTGATGAGCTATGCGCTACAATAATGACTTACTATCTATACTTCTAAAGTAAGCTATACTCTAGTATAGCTTACTATCTAGATTATTTAGATAATCTGATTATTGTGAATTTTTCTCTTTATTAATAGGTTAGGTTAAGACTCAAATAGCTGTATAGTATAATCATATTATATGGCATAATTTCTGTTTAATTACGGACTCCGTTAGGTGATATGACTATGACTTTTGGATGTTGACTATCTTGGAATGAAAAACCGCAAAACATATTGGCTAAAACGAAAATTGTTGATATTCCATATAGTTTTTGTCTGTTTCTCGTGCACCTAACACGGTGTACCTATTTTTCAGATGTAAAGACTACAAAATATAGTATACTAATAAACAAGCTCATCCATACACTTAGATGCATTGACACACCG